GGGTATGAGATAAGAGCATAGGGCAAGAATAACTACGTAGATGCGCGAGTGTCAGAAAAGACCCATCTAAGGAGGTGGAATTGTTCTAAGGCACATAGTAAACATTCAATAAATATTTGTCTGAATGAAGAAAGGAAGAAATAGGTGAATGAACCAATGAGCAAACTAGTTAACTTCCTCTCCAGATGCAGCCCCTCCTGGGCAGCCACCTGTCCTTACCTAGTCTATTCCCCTGTGGTTAAACCTTGTGAGGATGCCAGGAAAATAGGAGAAATGGCAAACAGGCGGTGAGAGTACACTTGCCATGACCAGGACAAGGATGCTTACTATTGAGCACTTCCTACACGGTACACTGGGGACTGTGCAGGCCCTTGTCACTTACCAGTGGCTCTGATTGACAGGGAGAAGACCTGGCATCAAGTCCCAGCTCTGTGGCTGCCTTGCTCTGTGATCTGGGGCAAATCACCTTCCCTCTCTAGGCCTCAGTCCCCTTATCCAATGCTACCGTCGCCTTCCAGGTTTCAATGGATTGATATTCCAGACAAAACAAGAAGCAAACAACGTGGAAAGTGGTTCCTGAGGCGATGTCTATCGAGTTGGGGTGCCCTTTGGAAGACAATGACCCCCATCTCCCAGGTTTGTCTCCTCCTCCTCCCCCACCCCGTCTAGAGCAAATGGGCTCCTGTACACCGTGAATGGGGAGCTGGGAACCCTCATGACCCGGGTCCAGCCCCCTGACATGGCAGCTGTTCTGGGGGTGAGCAGGCAGGGGGTGTTAATGATTGTCCCGTGTTATTGGCCACCCATCACTGCTCTCTGAGAATGCTCTGAGCCCTAGCCAGGGAGGTTTGGGTGGGAAATCGAGGTTAACAATTGTTCAGCTTGGGGGTATCTCGTTGCCCTGCTGAGCCCCTGGGAAGGAACAGGAGGGATTAAACATTAATGTAGATTCTCCAGCAGAGGGGACCAGGGCCAGAACACGAGGAGAGGGGAGAAGGCAGGGGCTCTGCCAAGATCCCTGCCCTGTCATCCCTCCCAAAGCGGGAGGAATCTGTGTGAGAGGGCATCTGATCCGGCCCCTGGTGCGAGGCCCAGGACCAGCCAAATGCGTGTTTGCACAGCGTGTCCCATTGCTGGACACTAATGGGTGTTCCAGGAGGGGGTGGGTGTAAAAGGAGTTCCAGGAGCCCCGGGTCTGTCCACAAAGTTCAATAGGTGCCTTGCCTGCAGGGCTTCTCAGAAACTTGAACAGACTGGCATGCGTTGCCAGTCTTTCATACAAATGTGCAAAACGGAGAAGTAAATGCACCAATGGACATCTAGGCCCTGTCCATTGGTGACCCCGAGCTTCCCTCAGAGCTCAGAAGATGACTCAGCCCGGCTTTCCTTTCCCAGACAGGAAAAATATCTGCAGAGGCCCAAGGGGTGCAGGAGCTGTCATTTGTGGTATCTCAGAAACTCATCTGTCCTCAGATCCATCACACACACACACACACACACACACACACACACACACACAGTCCCCTGCTCCCCCTGGGACATTTTTGGTATGTCAAAGAATGTACTTTGGAAATAAAATGCTGAGCTATACCATGTTGGTGGGATACAGGAAGAAACTGACATTTAGGGAGGCCAGCTGTGGCCCCGGCACTGTGTAGGTGCTCATTACATGATTTATACTTTTCAAATGGTAATGTTCTCAATCCTTCCATAACTTTCTGAAGCAGGTATTACAATTCCCACTTTGTACATAAGAAAACAGAGACTCAGAGAGAGGAAGTAATCTGTCTTAGATCACACAAAGAACCAGTCTTAAAACCAGGGCTCAAGCCCAAATCTCCTGATCCTTGGCCTTGGGCCCCTGTCAATATCTTCTCAGAAGAGAGCCCTGGTGCAGAGGTACAGTGGATAGAAGCCTGGACTTTGGAGCTTGCCTGCCTGGTTCTAATCCCAGCTCTGCTGGATACTAGCTGTGTGACCATGAGCAAGTTATTTAACCTCTCTGTGCCCCAGTTTCCTCACCTGTAAGGTAGCACTAATAATAGCACTACCCCATAGGGTTGTTGGAAGGATTAAATGAGTTAACATTTGCAAAGCGATTTAAACAACTGCAGGACACATGAGCACTGTGTGTTTTGTTAAATAAATTCAGACCAGTCCAAGGCTATATCCCAGGTGGGCCAGCAGGTCCCTCCTGCCCAGCGTCCCCACTGCCCACAGTCCACGTCCGCCCGCACCTGGTCGTCCAGGGGAAGTTCGCAGAAAGCTGGGATGTACTTGGCCCACTCAACGAGCACCAGCAGCTGCTCCTTCATGGACTCGCACACGTCTGCAATGCTGGCGATCTTCTTTGCCCGGATGTCTCCGTTGATCCCAGAGACAGGGGAGGTGATCTGAGGGGAGATGAAGGAAAATGCTGGGGATGGCTGGGCTGCCCCACACACCCTGAACCCTGCAGAGGCCCCTCCTCAGATAGTGTCCCTGTCTGGAAAAGGGGAGATGGACTGTGGGTGCCGTCTTGGCTCGGAGGAAGTTTAAGGGAAAATGGACAGAAGGAAGGATGCTGAAGAAGCCCTGCTGCCTGCCCCTGCCTCCTCTTCCTCCAGCTCCTCAGAATCCCAAGGAACCCCTCAGCCCTAGGGGAGACGCAGGGCAAAAATCCTCATCCTCGTCTGATAGATGAAGAAACCACAGCCCAGAGAGGTGCTGTGATTGGCCCAAGGTCAACAGCAAGAGGCTGACTGAGTCCCAGTTTGCTACTCCGTCCACTTGTTCGCTGCTCTGTTGTCCCGGGGCTAAGCTGATCTCAGGCCCTCAGTGAAGGCAGAGAGCTGCTTGGCCTGCACCACGTGGGCAGTGGGATGAACTAGAAAGTGCCCCCGATGCCAGGCCTGCGTCCCAGTTTTGTCTTTGCTACTAAACGGCTGTGTGACACTGGACTCGGCTTCCCTTCCGTGGACATCTGAGGGTCCTCCTAGCTGC